GAGGAGCTGATACCAAGGACTCAAGTAGAAAGAAAATGTTTTGGAAATAATGATGGCAACATATGTACAAATGTGCTTCTTATACTTGATGTATGGGCTGTTATAAGAACTGCAACAGCCCCCGATAAAATTATTTATTAAAATAAAAAAATAAGAATGAAATAGCTATGAAAAAAATAATTAAAAACTTTTTTAAAATTGAGAACGGCCTGGATAAAGGCATTCTGCCTCCAGTTACAATACTGAGGGAAGCTCAAAATTGAACTCACTGCCATCCAGTCCAGGGCGACCCATAGAGACCCACAACCCCATAGGACAGGGTAAACTGAGTTTCTGAGATGGTCTCTCTTTATGGGATCAGAAAGCGCATGGGGGAGAAAGGTCTTTCTCCCCAAGAGCCAGTGGTATGGAGGGAAGACGCTCAAGCTGCCCTGACATTAGCAAACAGACAAGGCTCCAGGAATTGAGGGAATCCCATAAGCCCTGCAGCGTGACCCCTTCCATGACCTGCCTGTGACGGCAAAGGCCTGTCTGGCCATGCTCTATCTTGGCCTGGCCACAGGGTCCCCTGCTCTGGTTTGGAGTTCTCTCTTAGGGCGGAGGATGGAGCAGGGGGCGAGGAGCCTCCTGCTTGGCCAGGTGAGTGTCCTGAGAGGTGCTCTGCAGCCCACAGTGCTGGTGCTCACCCAGCACTCCCACCCCCGCCTTTGTGTTGCAGCCTGTTCTCAGGTGAGACACCTTAGAGGAAACCCAGGAGCAGTTGGAGCTGGTTCTCAGGGGTGGGGTGGCGGGGAGCCTGCGGTCACTGAGGTGAGCCTGGCCAGCTGTCTGGGTGCCCTGTGTGAGCGCCTGCCTGCTGTGCTGCTTCTCTGCCAGCATGCTCATCTTCCTGGAGCTCAAGGCCGGGGTGGACACCCTGATGGTGGCCCTCTGGGGCCCACTGCAGGACCACCTGGACCACAGCCTCTGCGTGGCCATTGCCCACATGCGACCCGGACCTGTGCTTCCTCCTGAAACAGGTGCAGCCTGGGCTGAGGTGCTCTGGGGCCTCCTCCTGCCATGCTGGCAGCTGAACCCATGAGGGGGCGGGGTGCAGAGGGGAGGACAGGTCACACATACTCACACAGAATAGGCTCAAACACACAGGCACTCACACCAATCTCACACAAACACACTCACATTCACTAACCTCACACACTCACAAGCAAGCAAGCTCACACTCAAACACATACACACATCCATTCACTATTCTCATGCATATTCACA